GCAGGTGGATCTCTGTGAGTTCGAGGCCAGGCTGGACCGACAGCCTCGAAAACAATACAGAGAAACCCTGTCTCGTAAAAACCAAAAAAAAAAAATGCTACATGATTTCTTGTTGTAGCAGAGTTCAAGTACATAGATAATAAAATAATGGTTACCAATAATGAAAGAAGAGATGAAAGAAAGCGAGGAGAAGCAGGTAAAAAGATGCAAAATAAAGAAATGTGGGTGGGATGACCAGCTTTAGAGCTCTAATGTCCAATGTGGAAACTGATTAATGAACTTGCATTGCATTATGTTGGATATTCTTGCTTCACAAATACACTATTTCTCCCTTACTTGACTTGATTTCTACAGTTTCAGTTTCATGAAGATAACTTAAGGTCGGAAATTTTTAAATGGAAAATTCCAGAAGTAAACAGCCCCTAAGTGTTCAATTGTACACCCTGTTTTGGTAGCATAATAAATTAGTCATCACTTTGGTACAACCATGCTGAATACTCTGCTTGCCAGTCATGTAGATATCTCAGTTATCAGAATGATCCAGATTATCAGACTGACAAGCTATATAGATATCAAAGTTACTAGATTAGCAGCAGTGTTTTTATAGAGTTTGGGTCTGTACAGTTGAGGCATCCATTGTAGGTCTTTGGAACAGGTCTTCTGTGGGTGATGGGTATCTGAACTACAGTAGATTTTAGACACTCTTGCTCTTCCAAATAGGAACTATGAGAGATCACAAACATGTCAATCTTCTTTACTATAGTGACAATATCACCATCCAAATCTCCTAACAACATGTTATAAACTAATATGAACTGTCAATTTTGTTTTTTTAAAGATGTAGCTAATAGCAATTTAAAACGTATTTGTTGCACATAATTTCAAGCATGCTCAGTGATAAAGAACTGTGAATTCATTACCCAGTTATAGCAATAATCAACTTGCAGCCATTTTTGCTTTTATAACCCACTCATTCCCCCACCTCTCTCCACAGAGATATTTTAAAGCACATCTCATCCATATTATTTACAAAGGGATGGTTTTGTCTTCTTTGGGCATATATAATAATTTGGCTGTGTAATAATGTAAATATCATGGTACAAAAGTAGATGACTTCCCTTTGGTAAACAGGAGGCGTCTGTGGGGATACTCACTTCTGAATAAGAAATGACTGCTTGCATCTTCTTTGGATTGTACACAGTGTACACAGTGTACACAGGTTTTCCACAGTGTCCATGTGGAGAAAAGATGATAGCGGTTGGAGGAAGATGTTGATGCCAACCCTCCAGCTACGTTCCTCTTGAAAATCTGATTGCTTTGGTCCAGCCTGGGTGTGTACACAGCAGAGCAGAGGCACAAGCACTCTACAAAGGCGAGGGTCATTTCTATTGGTCTCCCCTTTCTCCTTAGCATGTCGGTAAATTAAAATTTCTATATCAGCATCTATTGTGACTGCGTGGCTTCTTATAGTCATCCCTCCTACATCTTGTGCTGGGACATACTTTACTGTGGAAGGTTGTCTTTTCCAGTGGAGAGTGTTTAATAGTATCCTGGTTTTTTTATCTATTAGACATTGTCAAGTGTACCTTTGTAAGGTGAAGTTAGCCCTGGCTGGAAAATCACTGCACTCCATTGTGTGTGTGTGTGTGTGTGTGTGTGTGTGTGTGTGATGTGTAATACATATAAAATACATAGTGTTAGAGGTTAGCAATTAAAAAACTCAAGTTTTCATTCATTTTATTGTCTAAAACCTCATGTAAAATGTAATTTATAACCTGGAGGAAGCCACTGTTGTGTTTCACTAATTTCCATGTTTAATTAACAAGCCTGTGATACAATGGCTAATGATGGTCTGCACATTTGAGACACACCCAGGAGCAACCTTTACAAGAGAAAAGCCGGGGTCCCAAATGAAAGATCTCTTGTCAGCTGTGACAGTGGTGTCTCCAGCTTTCCATCAGGCCAGCTCATCATTGTCCACAACACAGGGAAGCATTGTGTGGAAGTCAAGAGTGAGGCATTTCACCTAGAAAATTAATGATGTTACATACGTACCAATAGATCTTTTGATCAGTAATTAACATATAAACAAACATGGTTGCAAAATAGAAAGGAAAAGGATATTTAAACATTGCATATAATGTGGACGGTTTTTCCCCCATAATGGGACATTTAATTAGAGAAGCATAAAATTAGATAAGGGAAAATATGAGATCATCGTACCCATTCTTTTCAAGGGCTATACTGTTCTGTATGTGTCCATGCTTGTGCCATGCTCCCTTCCCAGGGCAGAGTCTCTTTAGATGCCCCATTCTAGTAGTGTAGGGGAGTCCTGATTCCTCTCTATGGAGAAACTCCAAGAGGGCATGCATCAGTGATACCATGATCTTGAGAAAATTGCTTCTTTTCTTAGTGGCACTGTGTTAACTGCTCAAAAAAAAAAAACACTAAACTAAACTAACCAACTTCTAGCAAAGTCTACATCAGGCTAACCAGGGTTAGCAAAAACTACACACATTGTTTTAAGTAATGTTGTGTAAGTATATAACTCATTAAAGAGCATTTGCAGAATCTTGAGTCCAGGGATGGAGCTTAGGGTCCTGACACACGCTAGGCAGGTGGTGTCCCATCGAGCCCCAGCCCCAGCCCTGGGATCATGAGTCTTACATGTTCTTGAAACTGCTGGTGTTTTAGTTATGTTCTCTAGAGGAACAGGCAAGTGGATGAATATATTATCAAGCAATCTGTAAAATAATGATAGTCACATCTGAGACACTGAGAACCCAGTACTGGGTCCTCGAGGCTGGATGCCTCAACAGTCAGAGCAGTCCCAGAATAGCAGTCTCCCTGGGAGTGAGACTGCAGTTACTCAGTCCACAGGGCAGGGCGCCTCAGTAGTCCCAGTGTGGTTTCCGAGGCCTGCAAAGTTCCCGGAGAGCACTGGTCTCTATGCTGGTTTGCCTGTGGTGGAGAAATTAGCTCCTCCACCCCGGGGGCAGGGGGGTAGCGACAGGTAAATCAACTCGAGGACAAGAAGGGAGGTCAAGGAAGCAAAAGGTGAGAAGTAACCCACTCTGAAACACAGTCATTTAAGTCATTTAATCTTGGCTGCTACCCAAAGGTGCCACCCACAGTCTAGGTGGGTCAATGGAGACAGAGTTCTTCAGTGAGGCTCCCTATTAAAGTGATTCTGATCTGCACCTAGTTGACATTAAAACCAACCATAATTCATAATATAATGCCAATTATACATGACAATGGGTGTCATATGGTGTTTCCATACACACAGAGAACATATTTTTATCATATTAGTCGGGAGCTCCCAAGTCAAGAGAAGATATTTATAAATCCTAAGTCAATGACAAGATCTTTATAGATCACCTTGTTTTTTTCTTGTATTTGCCCATTTTTAAAAAATGCATACTTTTTTGTAACAATACCCAGAATTTTCTTTATTGGTAAATGATAAAAAAATTAGCTTCTGAGGGCCAGGTATTACTCAGGCATGAAATGCTTAATAGTTATGTGATATTTGTAATCCTAAGTATCTCCCTGTCTCCCCACAGGAAACAGAAGTTCAGAAAAGCCAAGTTCTTTGTTTAATGTCTCCCACTGCTCAATGGGAGGTTGTGATTCAAACACAGCTCATGTAAATAATTACAGGACGTGAGGCTGTCTCTCACAGTTTGTGTGAATAAAAAGGCAATTGTTTGTATGCCTTAATACAGACTTTATCCACAGTTTCCCTGAAGGTGAGGTGGGCAAGTGGATATCTGTCTGTGTACCTGTCTTTCTGTCTTTCTGTCTGTCTGTCTGTCTGTCTGTCATCTATATCTATCTATCTATCCATCTATCACCTGTATCGAACGTCTATATCTATCTGCCTATCCATCTATCTTTCATCTATATCTATTATCTATCATCTATCTATATTCCAATCATGTACGAATGTTTTCAAACGTAATGAAACCTTCAGGAGCCTGAGGACTGGTGGTAGCCAGGGAATGGTCTAGATTGGGTTGAGAAGTTCTGTGACTGGAGGAAAACAGGTTAAGTGCTCTGTGACAAATAACACATTTGGTCTTCAGCCAAAAGGGATGGGGATTTCAGAGAGCAGAGCTCCCTATGGGGAAAAAAATCCCAAAATTCAAATGGGGAGGGGGTCAGGCGTCATTCTAGGTCTCTGTTGTTCATGTTGCAGGCTGGGGGAGAGAAGGGACAGCAGAGACAACCTGCAGAGAAGCAGGAAAATGTGTGTGTGTGGTGTACCTGACCATCGTTTTAAAAAGGACCCAGAAGAACCCGAATGTAAATCTAGAAATCAAAGTCACCCCAAACAGGTGAAGGGACAGAATCCTAACAATTGAAAGTGGAACATCAAATCCGGGTTTCTAACTGTGAGCACTGAGGTTTTATTAATTAAGGTCAAGGTGATGATGACAATACCAGCTGGGGAGCATTTCGCCTAGAGATAAATTTGTTCCTCTGAATTTCTGCAAGGCAGCGGGGAGGTATGTGTTTGGAACTAAATTAATTTGATTTCCATCATGCCATGGTAACTTCTGTTCTCTCTCTCGGCTGTCAGATGTCTTAGCCGGCTTTTCCCCTACTCTTCACCCCCACACATTTCATAACACCAAGAGAAAGCACGGCTTGGCTTCGGGCAGAATTTAGAAACTGAATAACTCTAATTTGATTCTTCTCCATGGAGTGCTATTCTCTCTCTCTCCCCCTCCTTCCTAGAGGGAGAGAAGTTGTAAACTGGAGCATAAGTACGCTTTATTTTTATATCAGGCTTAACGGCACAAAACTGCTTGACAGAACTTTTTCTTTGGTACAAAACCTGGCAGCTCACCTTTCCTCCTCCTCCGTGTCTAATAGTAACACCAGTAAATGAAATCAGAGCCCAGGACCCCAGGGATATGCATGTGGCTTTGCAGACCTGTCATACCTAGTGACACCCAGCGGGCCGCGGGGGCCTGGGTGTGCCTAGCCCACCGCCCCTCGTTCTTCCTGCTGGGCAGGATAAGGTTACGCCGCCGGGGCCTCCTCTGTCGCAGGGAGGAAGGCGGGCCGACACCCTGCCGACTAGGGAGTCGCCACAGTTGGCAGCCGGGAGCCCGTGAGGACGCTGCTCTGCAGGCGGCCTGGAGCAGAGGGTGGGACCCAGAACGCAACCTGAGGCTGGGGTCCCCGCCATGGCCACGGCCAGGCCTCCCGGGCGCGGCTGCAGAGCCCTGCCCGGATGGCTGCTCGGTGCTGCGCTGCTACTGGGCCTGCGGCTCTGCATGGAGTTGCACCGTGAGGGCCCCGGATCCCCGGGACGCCGCGATCCCCCGGGACCTCCCCGGCCGCACCTGCTACCTCCGCCCGGCCCTCCACGCAGTGCCAGAAGGAGGCAGGTGACCTACGTGCGTAGCGGGCGCCGAGCGCTGCCCCGGGGTGGTGGGACCACGACACCGGAGCCGAGCTGTTGCACCCTACGCGGGCTTCCCCGCAGGAAGGTCAGTTGCAAACTCTGCAGACCCGGGCCGTGGTGTTGAGCCGGCACCCAGATGGCGCTGGGGAGCCTTCTGCTCAGGCCGGTGGACCTCGGCACTGGGACTTCCAGGCTCTTGCACTTCTGACTGTGCTCTCTGGAACTTTCTCTAGCCTTTTCAGTGCCCCTGTAGACAGAAGTGGACATGAGCAGAGTTCATCCACACTCAGCCACTGTTTGTGAGCTCCCACTGTGGCAAGCCTCCTTCTAGGAACAGAGCACCTAGCAACCATAACCATTTCAGTGAGGGGAGGGGCACTGAACAGCACCAGGGGAAAGCAAAGGAGGTTTGGTGACCCCGTGGTTTCCCCACCCAGGCCTGGGCAAAGCCAGATGGGTAGTCACTGAAAGATGCATCCTCCTGCATCATTCCCCCGCCTCTCCCCCCCCAGTCCCGTCCCTACCCAGGACTGGCACAGGGAGAGAAGACAAGCCCCCAGCACCACTTAGTGGGAAAATAATTGGATCCTCCAGGACCAAACCTAAGTTTGCCTTCCATAGCTGGCTAGGCTCTTCCTTGCCTCATTAACTTCCTGCCTCACACTTCATTGAGTAGGTCGATTTTAACCTCTGGTTGTTAAGGCCTGGGCTTCCCACCTTCTTTTGGGAGCTCATCATTTACGTGGTACTTGAGAGTGAAAAGACTAGGAACTTGCCAAATCCTTATACCTGTCACTCCTGCTTCCGACGGACCGCAATGGCATCCCCAGAAGCCCTCTGTGCTGCCTGGAGTCGGTTTTTCTTTATGACACCTGTCCCCACCCCACCCCTTCACCACCCTACTCTCCCTTTGGCTGAGCTGCTCCCTTCCCCATTCTTCCAGTGCGCCCCCCCCCACTTACTCTACTTGCTTGTCTTCCCACAAGACTGGAGCTACTTCATAGGCTACCCTATCATCTTGTGGGATAAACATAGCTCTGTTTTCTGTCTCTGAAATGTGCCTCCCGTGTAAAGACTTAGCTAGTTACTCTTCCTTTTCATGCTGACTATGCAGTTCCCATGATTCCTTCAAAACTCCTGCCAAGGGCTTGCACTAGCTGCTGGGTCAAACGCTGCCAACACAAACTGAATTCAAAGTGGATGGGGGCTCAGCAAAGGAGTTTGATTCAGGCCTTGGACCTGAGAAGGAAGACCAGGAAGAGAACAAAGGGGACATTGGGAGCTGAGGCGATGTTTTTGAAGAGTCTAGCCTCCTTTGTCCTTCTGCGATGTCCTCAAACCTTCTGTCTTTGATACTCCACAACTGTTGTTCCTGCTGTTGAAGGAGCCCCAAGGTTTAGTCTCTATAGTTATTGTTAACTAGAGCCTACTTTACAGCGTCAAGATTTGGAATGCATAGACTCAGAGGGTCACTGGAGGTGTGCGGGGAGTTCACCTTTACCCCTGTCGGAGGCTGGGGAGGGGACCCCGTCTGAAAATGGCAGTGTAGGTGTGTGTGTGGGACACTGTCTGTGTCTGGAAGGTACATGGAGAAGCAGGGCTTCTGTTTACCTTTGGTGGATTACAGAGACAACTTTAAAGCTCCTTTAGGTAGTCAGTTGGAAATGTCAAATAGACAGACATGTGGAAGCTGGGGGCAGGGCCCAGGTTCATTGGGGTCATTGCATGCAAATGACACTGACACTATGAGATGTGTGAGGCCAGCTGGGGGTGAGTGTGGCTCACAGGACGAGGGTCTGAGCGCTGACATCATTACAATTGAAGTAGAAAGAAGATGAAAGGGAAATGTTAGCACAGCGTCTGGCACGTTGTGAACGCAATGTAACAGCCTTTATTTTCTCTGAGTTGTCCGAGTCTTCAGCCTTAGCGGTTCCTCAGATATGAGCTATCCCAGCTTATTTGCCTTCCCTTGCCATTTCCTGTTCCCCATCCTGCCAATCTTCTACCGTTTGCTGCTTCAAACATGCAGGTGAAGGCTCAATTCTCTCCATGACCACTCAGGTCAAGGTTCATTGAGAATCTCCTGTTTCCATGCTGATCTCTCTGCAGCGCCTCTGTGAGTGTGAGCCGCTGTGTTCCTGTGGAGACTTGAGAACCCGTCTCAGATGGGATGTTTTGCCTGTACAAAGTGTTCTCCAATGGGAGGGCTTTCATTCCCCACAGTGACCCTAGTTATCTCTGTAGACACTGACATGACAAAGATGAATACTATTATGTCTTGAGTTTCTCATGGGTGTTATAAAGAAATGTCTTTGGTTAAACTATGTAAGAAGTAAGGCTTATCACTATTGTAAAAATAGTAAGTTATCAGCCTCCTGTGGAAACATTTTCCTTGGGTTATCCTCTCCATAGCTGTGTTCTTATTTTTTAAAAAAAATATATCTCATCTCACCAACTTCCTAGACAGGATTCTGGATTTATTCTCTTTCACAGCTGAGTTAAAATATTCCTCAAAACTGGAAAGGCCAGTATTTAATCTGTTTTCAGACTTCTGGGAATGGAGTTCAACATCTTACACCTCTCTGGGGATAAACCTTGTTCCCTTTTTCCCTTAACCTCTAAACTTTGAACAGTATGACTGCATTAAAATATCAGGGGCTGCAAAGATGGTGGGAGAGATGGCTCAGAGGTTAAGAGCACTGACTGCTCTTCCAGAGGTCCTGAGTTCAATTCCCAGCAACCACATAGTGGCTCACAGCCATCTACAATTCAATCTGGTGCCCTCTTCTTTAAAAAAATCACTGATGACACTTTCTTTACTTTCTGTTTCCTAAGTGTTTCTGGTTTTTGTTGTTGTTTTCTTTCTTCAAGAGGTATTTATAATTCCTGCGGGTGAAGTTCTTGGGGGATTTATTTACAGAGAACTAGATGTGGTCTCTGTGACAGGCTTTGTAGGTACTCTTGGGTGTATGTGGTACCCCTTACAAGTCACAGCCCATCTACAAAGAAGCAGTTTTTTAACATCTAGGCCTTGCTTGTTTAGGAGATACTTAACTCAAGACCAGGCTCCCAGGAGAAATGTCTTTTCAGAGCAATGTCACTTGACATTTAATATGCTGGCAAGCAAAGTGACTTCTGAGTTACTGAGCTACAGAACCCAGCAATGTGCTGCTGTCTTGGCTGGTGAGTTACAGATCTTTTGGAACAGTGTGTGTGTGTGTGTGTGTGTGTGTGTGTGTGTGTGTGTGTGTGCAGAGGAGGGACTGTTTCCTCTTCTGAAAAACCATATGGCAAATGTGGGCTTACTTCTTGTCATCTTCTCAGTTTTCTAATTCGGTAGCTGTTGGCGAAATGATGGGAAGTGGCGTGGTGTGCCCCTGGTCTACCCAATCACCTTAAGAGCGCTTATTATTTTCAGACTCCTTGAAGGGTAGGTTGAGTCCCTTGTGACCCAGAGAGAAGGCATAGTCCTGTAATCTGCTCCCTCTTCCTGTGTCCCCCTTTACCATGCTGTATAGAACTAGCTCTAAACATGAAGTCCTCTTGCACGTTATGAGTTCTAATATGAGCACTGGGAGATGAGGACAGATGACAGATGGTGGGTAAGTGCCAGCTCTTTTGATTGTGACAATCTTTGAACTCAGCAGCCCTGTCCAGCCCCTCCGGTTTTGCATATGTACCCATACTTCTGACGCAGGGGAGCAGCATGAATCAGCCTCCTCCCACTGCCCGGGAAGCTGAGCATTTTCATTTGAAACAAAGTCAGCTGAGAGCATTTGAATGAGCGCCAGCAGCATGTGGGCGTGAAGTAGCAGTTGCTTAGTTTCATTTCAGAAAGCGGGTTTTTATTACAATTTTGATGTGCCTTCAGTGGGGACCAGGACTCTGCTTCCACCCCAATCCTGCAGTTGTTAGTTTCTTGGAGAGTGTTCTGTGGGCAGAGGGCTGCTAATGCCAGCTCTATTGTTTTTCAACAACCAGTGGTGGAGATACTAGGTTTTTGTGTATAATTTGTGCGGTCCATTTTCTCTAAGGAGAAAAATGACCTGCCAGTTTTCTCGAATAGAATTGGATTTCCCTTTTCAGGCTGTGAACAGAATCAGGGCTTCATAGTTAAACGGGAGACTGTCGAGGGTGGAGGGCCCTTGAGTTTTTCCATCTGTGTGATGATAGCTTTGCAGGTCTTCTATTTCTGAGAAGTTAGGCTCTTTGTTCTGTGATACAGGGGAAATAACAGGAGCCTGCTTCATTTGCCATGAGACAAGTCTCGGCACAGCAACCTGCCAGCAGTGATGAGCATCTTTTCAAATAGTCCCTGGGTCCTCTGGATATGTCACAGTGGACCCATTAGTGTCCTGTGGAGATTTCTGGAAAAGGAGGGTGATAAAATTTGCTCTCCAATAAGCATTTTTATCCTGATCAAGTGATTGAGAGAAAATTGAGTTGTAGAAGCCTTACAATCTAGGGGCATATGTAATTTAAACTAATAGCAAGCGAGGCTGTTAGTTACTCAGGAGGTGAATCTATCCAATGAATTTGAATCATATAGCATTTTTTCTAGTAGTGGGAATTGAACTCAGAACTCATACATTATAGGCAAGTGCTCTACTACTGAGCCTCACCTATACCCTCATGTAACTATCTTTAGATGAGGTATCCAGTGGGATCCAGCACTGAGTCCCACCTATATCCTAATATAAAAATCTTTAGATGGGGTACCCTGTGGGATTCAACTTAACATCCTCTCCATTCACTTTGCCTTTATAATCTCAGGAAGCATTTGAAATGACAACTCTGAGCCAGACACCTTCAAAACGAGCAGTTGTTTTTCCTTAAAAGTGACAAGCAAAGTTAATACATCTTAGCTCGATGACAGTGTGACATATCCCTATCATATGCAACAAAGGAAAAGGTCCCTTTGAACTGTTGTTTTTAAGAAAGAGGATGTGATGGTTGACTTTCAAAGTCAACCTGACTGGATTTCCAGTTATGTAGGAGACACACTGGGACTTATCTGTAAAAGCATTGCCACAGAGGTGGGAGGATCTACCGTGAATGTGGGGAGCACCATTCCATGGGCTGGGA